AGGAAACGCTGATTCCATTTGTCATGTCCAAGTCTGCCGTCAAAGCCAAAGCTGGGCTAGCGGAACAACAGAACAACGCCAGCCTCACTCAGGAACCGTCGGTCAAAGAAGTGGCCGTCGTCAACAAGGTACAATATATTATATTATATGTTTTATCATATATAAATACATTATATCTATATATAGTACATGTACATTATATGCAGGTTACTATATATATATTATGTTTTTATGCGTCGCACGCTTGTGCAAATAAATATATTTGCCAATATCTACTGTATATGTGGAGATTGTGTCCATCGCTATCAGTATGGACATACAGCACCTCTATGATTGTGTCACTACCTAAATATATATATATATATATATCCTTGGTAAACTATTAATAGTATGTAAACTGTAATAGGTCGACGTCGAAGCGTTGTTGCCCGAGTACGAAGGCACGTTTTTCGACTACTTGGAATTGTTTTTGCAGTTTGGGTACGTCGTGTCGTAGTTAGTACTATTATTATAATATTTCTTCATTCAACCAAAAAATGGCATATATATATGTTCTAGTCAAATCACGCTGTTTGCGTCGGCGTACCCGCTAGCAAGTGTGTGCAGTCTGCTCAACAACTTGATCGAAATCAAAAGCGACGGGTTCAAGATCCTCATGGCGCACCAGCGCTGCCACCGCGACCACCCCGACGGCATCGGCACGTGGGTGCACGCTTTCACACTGCTGGGGTACGTGGCCGTGGCCACCAACGTGACGATCGTCGGCTTCAACTCCGGCGTGCTGCAGCGCTTGTACCCGGGTATCTCGCCGTTTTACACGCTTGTGGCGGTGGTCGTGGTCGAGCACTTGATCGTGTCCATCATGGTGGGTATCGCCGCCGTCGTGCCCGACGTGCCGCAGCATGTTGCCGAGGTACATATGTCGTCTGGATTGCTCTAGAACGTACTGAGTTATGTCGTGGGGACAGGGCCGGCGTCGGGAGCGCGCGGTGGCCCGCAAAAAGATGCAGCGCGATGCAGAGTTTGACCAGCGGTCCGCGCGACTGCAGTCAGCTGTGGGGCACAAGGCGTTCTTCGACGAGGCGACTGTGGACGAGACGGAAATGGGGCGACTGGAGACGGACGAGGCGGCGGGCACGACGACCATCGCGACCGACAAGTGGCGCAAGTGGGTCGTGGAAGAGAAGATCCGGCGCCGGGTGCTGGAGAAGGAGATCTCAACCATGAACGCCATCTACACGGCATGGATCGACGCCGAAAAGGACAAGGCGCGGCGGCTCCAGGCGGAACTGGATGCCCTCACCACGAAAAAGACAGCGTAAAACTACTGATTTGCATCGGTCGATTGTGCATTTTGAATAGAAAAGGATGTTTGTGACACTATTTCAAGGGTTGATACTACTTGCAGATATTTGATTGGCCACTTGATTCGCGTCTTAGTGGGTTTGGATTGGTCGACATTGGAGTGGGATGCTCGATTGACCAATCAAAACCCAGAACAATAATCAAGTGACCAATCAATACCAAGTCATCATTGAATTAGTGTGTGACTGAAATTAGTGTGCAATTGGACGTAAGAATCGTTCGATAGATTTGACAAATAAGCACAAAAGTCCAAACTTTTTAGGGTAAAACGACAATACTTGACCACCACCATCGTACCTTTCGATTCAATGTTGGAGTGGTACAGCCAGGAGTACCACTGGAAAATTTGATATTCATTGCCTCTAGACATAAATATCCTTTCAGAAGTAATGCCTCTCTACGACGCGATAACTGACGAGCAAACTTGAAGCGACTTCCTGCAGATTTCAGCATGCAAACTTGAGCTTGTAAATTGACATTGATACCTCCATTCACTTTCCATTATGCCGTGACCGTCCCATCGCAAGCCCTAGAAATGTACTTGTATGATTTCAATTTGAGTTTGATTGCCACGAAGAACTCCCATAAAATTATATTCCTCCAACATCACATAGAAATATTAATTTTGAATAGACTAGAAACAGAGTGGTCACAGCCGAGTACCATCCAACATTGAATCGAAAGGTACGGGTACTATTATTACTACGTATTAATTATATTAACTGTAAGGACAAACTACTATTGGTACAATGCGTCCACGACGTGGGCATACTGATTCAACACGACCGATCGCTTGAGCTTCAACGTGGGCGTGAACTCGCCACCTGGGATGCTGAAGTCCTTGTCGAGAATGGCCACCTTTTGAACGTGTTGGGCGCGGGAGATGGCGCGTGCGTTGGCGCGGACGAGGCCTGCGTCGATGTACGCGCGGACTCTGTCGCAGATTTTGGCTTGGGCGACCGTCTTGGCAGAGGACCCGACGTCTTGTTCAAGTACCCGCACAGCCAACGCATCCAGTTGGTCGGTGGGGACACCGTCGCCGTCGGCCACGACGCGAAACGTCACGAGGGCGGCGATAAACTTGCGCTGGTCCCCCACGGCCATGACATTCGATAGGATGGGCAGTTCCTGCTTGAGCACGTCCTCCAGCCCCGCCGGCGACACGTTTTCCCCGCCCGCCGTGATGAGCAGCTCCTTGAGCCGACCTGTGATGGTCACAAACCCGTCGGCGTCTACGCGCGCGATGTCCCCCGTGTGCAGCCACCCGTCGGCGTCGATCGCCCGATCGGTCTCACCTTTGTCCTTGAGGTACCCCATCGTCACATGTCGGCCGCGCAGGTCGAGCTCGCCAGTCGACGGGTCGATTCGGAACTCGGTGCCGACGTTCTTGGTTCCAATTGCCAAGGGTTTGAACTGGTCTGGAAAGTTGCAAAACCCTATCCCAGACGTTTCGCTCATACCCATGACCCCGTAGATGGGTATGTTGAGGGCGGCAAAGTAGTCAAAGCAAATCTGCGACAGGGGTGCCGCGCCCGCGTAGAAAAACTTGCAGCAGTCTAACCCCAATGCTTGGCGTACCCTCTGGAATACGAGGTAGTCGGCCAGCCAAAACCCCCACGGCACTTCGCCCGATTGGCCGAACACGGACGCCGCGACGGTGGCGGCGCCGACGCCCTTTGCCCACGTCACGAGTACTTTCTTGAGCCCCGTCGTGGACCGGCCTACGTCTTGCATCTTCTCCATAAACTTTTCAAACAACCGCGGCACCGTGAGCAGGAACGTCGGCCGGACTTCCTTGAGCGTCGCGCCCAGAGACCCCTTGAGCGCGTCCGGCTGTGCAAAGTACACATGCGATCCGTGCACGGCCTGGCACCCGATGTCGCATTCCTGGCCAGCAATATGCGACAGCGGCAGGAAGCTGACCATGCGATCGTTGTTGTTGAAGTCGTCGGTCGTGAACGGGTGCATGAGCGACGCCTGCGCGAACATGAAGGCGTCGTGGGACACCATCACGCCCTTGGGGCGACCCGTCGTGCCCGACGTGTAGATGAGCGAGAGGCAGTGGCCTGGGCGTTGCGACGCGATGCGGGCGCGGACAACCACGTCGTCCACGGCTTCTCCCAAGGCGATGAACGCCTCGAATGAGTAGACCCGGATATGGCATTCAAAACCTGCTGGCACCGAGTCGTTCCCTACAATGGCAAAGGAAGAAGGCGTGAGTTGACGAAATGTATCGAATAAGACTGTACAAAGCACAATGGCCTGCAGCTTGGGCAAAGCGGGTACGAGAGACGCAAACTTCTCGAGCTGTTCGACGCTGTCCACGACCACAATCCGCGTGTCGGCATGAAGACACACCTGCTGCGTGGCCGCGGCGCTGTTGGTCGCGTAGATGCCCACGGGGACACCGCCGGCCAGGACGGTGCCAACGAACGAGAAAAACCATTCCGAAGCATTGAACCCACAAATGCCCACAGTGTCAAACCGGTTGAGTCCTTGGCTCAGCAGCGCTTTGGCGAAGCGGAAGCTTGTGGCTTCGTAGTGTTGCCACGTGTGATGATGCCTGCAGAGGTGGAACCACAATGTCAGCAGACTATGGAGGAAGGACGAACATGCGCACCATTCGCCGTCGCGTTTGTAGTGCAATGCCGGCTGGGACGCGAACTTGGCCGCCGTGGCGAGAAATGTCGTCGGGAACGTCGTGGGTGGGAACTGACTGTTGTCGGCGCCGACGCGAAGGTCCACTTCTTGGTCAATGCGCGTGGTCTAATGCTAGTTCATGAGCTCATGACGGACGGTGAGCTGGCGCACTTACAGTGTATTGCGGCATGAAGGCAGGTTAGCGAAGGACAAGGAAGTTTGCTGAATGATCGCTTATTTGTTGTCGTCGTACTCACAGTCAAGTTCAACCTCTGAAAACGCATACCTATGTATGTACTGGTGTAGCAGTAGATCCTACCACAGCACCATCTCAAAGTACAGTACACTTGGGCGAGTTTGAAGGGCATTTCATGTGAACATGTATTATGTTTGAACAGGTTTTGTTGTATCTTGCGTCATACTGTAACTAGGTTGAACGTGACGATCGAAAGTGCATGCTTGTAAACTTCACAGTGAACAAATGTCTATTGTGCTGTTCTTGTTGTCGTTGATTTCCAAGGGACGAGTTATCGTTGAACTGGCGCATTGAAAAGGGACAACACCAGTATGTACAGTACATATACACTACTGTACTCCTGGAGTAACTTAGCTGTCAACGCGTTGAGTATCGAGCCGTTCAAGCAAATTGATTGGCTAATCGTCAACTGTTTGAACGTCGGTGGTCTTCGATGGTTGGTTTGATTTGGACTCACAAAGTTGGGTTGTCAATTCTAGCACTGCAGTTGTGTTGCCACATAATACTAGTAGTACTACTATTGACGCCCCAAATGTCATGAAAACGTTGTGTTGTGATCGAATAAAGTCGGACATCTCATCCGACTCAATTCTGATTGGCTTAAATTCGATCTAATTATCGTTTACTTTTTTTTGCTGCATCATTTGGGGTCACAGTCTGTGAATTCCGACTTCATTGTGCTCCTACATCCACAATTTTGAGAAATACTGTAACGCCCAATAAATATGGGTGCCGTACAATCCATTAAGTAGGGTGTATATGCGGGAATGCCATAAAAACCCGGATTACGTCTACGTTTTCTAGCCAGCCGTGCAAATGTGACCATCTTCATTTGGAACATACGAAGCTGACGTCCAAGTTCAGTGAAACCAGGATGATGGCAAATTGGCCATTATATGCCAAATGCAATGCAGCTATAGCCGTGGCCGAGGTGTAGGGACGACCCAAACCAGTGCCAATCGTGCTGTTATAAACGCTTTGGAGCTCCTGCACCGCGAACTTCCACTCACACAAGATATTGCCTTGATTCTTGGTCAAGTCTCGCAATGATCTTGTACACCCAGCTAGCAACGACAATACAGTACAGTACCTTAGAGCCTGGTACTACTGGTGATGTGGAGTACTAACCAACCACTACTACCACAGCCACACCCACAGCCACCACACAGCAATCACTACTGTTCATCCTACGCCCACCAGAGCAAGACCAACCACTACTACCACAGCCACACCCACCACTACTACCACAGCCACACCCACCACCACAGCAATCACTACTGCTCATCCTACGACCACCAGAGCAAGACCAACCACTACTACCACAGCCAGGTGGTGTGGAGCATCCGCCAGAGGGAGGATCCCCCTGACGGATGCTCCACACCTCCAATAGTACCAGGCTCTAAGGTACTGTACTGTACTGTCGTTGCTAGCTGGCGGGTTGCAGGCAAAACTTTATGTTGTTCACCTGCCAAGGTCATTGCACTTTTAACCAATCAATGGATACAGGACATTCGGTCCGACTTTCTTCTGTTAATTTCTCAGGTCTGGTTTTGACTTCGCTTTTGTATATAATAAATATTACAACGAACAAGAAAGTCGGACAAACGGTCCGACGATCACTTGGTTCCTGTATATCCTGTCCGACTTTTTTCCACTAATGGAGGACGATGGCCCGTTGAGGGAGCATCCACGTAGCTCCGTGCGTCACTGGAGTACTGGAAGGCCATTGCAACGACAGGGGGGTGGACATGTTGTTGACAACGATGGTTGGCTTAGTAAAATCATTTGACGTAACGTTAGCTCCGACTTTCTAATCTGACGAG